GAATCAAATGGAAACGACAATGGAAAATAACATAGAACCAGTGACAGGGGTTTGCAGGGTGGATACTGAAATCCTGCATGATCCTAAGGACCCTAAACTTTGGGGATTTTTGTATTCTAGTATACTAGGGTCATGCAGGGTTCTTAATATCAACAATGTAGGGGTGGTGTTCTCACATTACACGGTTTGGAATTTAGTGTTTCAGGGTCAAGGTTGAAGGTTCAGGGTTGTTCAGGATTTAGGAGGGGCTCTCGAAATGGGATGGCCCCTGAGGGATATTGCGCAAGAAATTGTTTACAGGAATCCTTTTAAACATGATGTATGGGACATTCTGAGAAATTCCGGTATGAAACTCGGATCGTGAACCTGAGATCGCAATCTGCCACAGAAGCTGTCAAGAATTGACTCAGCCGCTGGCAATCAGGGTCAAAAGGAAAAATCTCAACTGTTCACTTTTTGAGCCAACATGGCTAGTTCAACGCATGATGACTTCAACGCACACCTGTGGCCTATGCACGTGCCAAAAAACATCAAACCCTTCCAAGCTGTCCACATGTACTGGACGATCACGAGGCCCTGAACCCTATGTCCCCAACGTTCTCAGTTGCTTTCAAGCTTGCAAAGCGGTGGCCCAACTGCCCTTAATTATTCGACAATTCTCTGGTCTCCGCCCTTATGGCAGCTCCGGTTCGCAATTAGGCTCGATCCTTACTCCCTGTAGCCTTAACCAGACACGAGAAAGGCCACTCGCCTAAACTTCTAAGTACATCAGTCCGTGGGTTACGGAATTTGTCCGTTCCGCCTTCACAAAAACAAAGGAGAGCGCTGCGTGGGACTAGAACCGGCGATAGTATCCTATATAGGAGGTTGAGCTCAGGGTCCGGTGGATACATCATATGAAATCCTGTAGGTCAATGAAGAAAAATAAAAGCAAATTGTTGTTTATAATGGTTATTTTAGGTACCGAAATCCTGCTCAACTGCCATACATATTGCAGCATCCACACATAAAACCATGACCCACCGGTGCTTAAGGAAGAGTGGGGGAGTGGATCCCCATAATCACCCCTGTATAATCCCCATATATACCCCTATAATGCTACCTATATTCCCCCTTAAGCACCAGTAGGAGGAACGCCTTTTCATCGTGGCTCACTGGACAGCTGAGACAGTGTATCTCATCGCTAGCGGGCAGACGCCCTCCACTCACCAACAAGACCTTGGCGCAGAGAATCAAGTACGAGCTAATTGAGTAGTGTTTTTTTGGTGGTTGAACCTAGTAAGATAACATTCCTTATATAAAATACTATACCCCAAATGGAGGATATAATCTTACTCTATATTGGGTACCAGAGTATCCCCAAAAAAAAATACTACTCAATTGTGTTGGGTTTAGGGTTTAGGGTCCACTCACCTAAAAAAACCTTGGCGCAAAGAAGCAAAGGTTCAGCGCGTAGTCCTGGAGGAGCTACGTAGGCGAATTATGAAGCACTACTGTTATCCGCAGTAATACTTCTAAGAGACTGTAGGGATACTTTAGGAGGACCCCCCACCCTGTAATAGTGGTATAATAAGAATAGAAGAGGACCCTAATATAATCCCTATTATCCCTTATAGTCACTATTACAGGGTGGGGGCTCCTCCTAAAGGATACTACCCAAGTTCAACTCTAAGAATTGTTCTTACCTACTGTTGATGCAGCAGACCCTGCAGGACCCACAGTAAATTGTACCACCACAATTCCCAGGGCTTAGGTATGGTGGGTCGGCAGAACTATGATCCCTCCTGGTGTCCCCAAGTATAGTGCAGTCCCTAGTATTCAAGGGACCACTTTTTTGAAAACCCGAGGGTCATTATTAACCTACTTCCTAAAACCCCCTGACCCTAAACCCTGCACCCTACAGCCCAAAAAGTATGGCAGTTTCCATCTTTTACATTATTTCTACGTTCCCCCTGACCCTCCAAGTA